CTTATATTTACAATTAGCTGCTTGATTAATCAGACGTTCTTCTGTCGATTAAATGTTTGCTTTTTCTTCTCAGGTCCATCTGGCGTCGGTGTGAATGAACTTCGGAGGCGTTTGATTGAGATGAACCCCAACATCTTCCAGGGAGCCACTCCTCGTACGTCCTGGACCTACAGCCGCTTCACTCATTAAACATTCTATTAAAACCCCTAAAAATGCTCCGTTTGTTCCTCAGTCTGACGTTTGTTTTGTGAGTTCCTGCGATAATCTGATTAAATAACTTCTTTTTCCTTCCCCAGACACGACCAGAGCGCCCCGAGGCTACGAGGAGTCGGGCAGAGAGTATTTCTTCACCAGCAGAGAAGTCTTTGACAACATGGTTTATAACAACAGGTGACGCTTTCTGCTGCAGATCTGATGGATAATGATGGATAATGTGAACTGTTTCTGATGTGGTTCCTCATCAGACGGCTGACTGGGCTTCATACTGATGCTCTGATTTCATAAACAGCTGCATGGTCCAGAGTTTATGCGTCTCCAGCTGCTTCCATGTGGTTCAACCGTCCTGATATTTAAATATACTCAGTTTACTTCCAGTCATGTTTCCTGAAACCAAACAGAAGGAAATGTTTCAGTTTATATATAATCCATCATGACATTTATCATTTTAATCGATATTAGAGGCTGCATGTGTTTAAAAAGTTCAAAATCCTCGTTTGTATTTAGAAACTAGACACGTTTTGAGTTGATGTTGTTTTCGTTTTTGCTGTTTTGTGCTGTTGTTTATTCGTATATTTATGATCATCATCATAAGTATTTGGTAAATAATGGTGGTTGGATATTTTCCCAAAGGTAAATTAATTTCTTTAAAAAGTGGACATAATTTTTTAATGTTAAAAGACAGATTTTTACAAGATTTTGATGTAAAATGACAAATAAAACTCATATTATAGTTAATATGATGTAAAATTAGCAACAGTAAACAGTAGCAACCGTATTTTCACATTTTTACTTTTTTCAAAACATAAATAATATGATTAAATTGATTTCAGAGAAATAAAATGACTGATACCACTTTTTATTATTCTATTATTTTTATTATTTGTATTATATGATGATTTTAACACGAATAATAGTAATTTAATGGTAATTTAATTGTGCAAAAGTGTAAATATTCTTCAATCAAAATTAAAAAGTAAAAAAAAAATAAAATAAAACCCCACACATGATCTTGTGTAAAATTAAAACAAAAATGCATTTTAAATATGGAAAATTAATATTTTTTATTAAATGGTATTTTCCTTTATTTTACTTTTTTGATGCCCCATGTGCCCAGATGTATCTTAATATGAATATTAATTATTATGAGTATTAATAATGTTTTTAGAGCTTTGTGTATTTTCACATGATGATCCAGATGTGAGTCGCTGTAGACGTTTAAAAAGCTTTAGTGCTTGTTTTTAGTTCAAAATCTGTCCTGATGCTCAGCAACAAATCTCAGGTGCAACTTTAAAAATTCAGAAGTTTGGCATCGAGACCTCTTTGTTGGGAGGTTTTGTTCATCAGAGCGTCTCGTCCTCCAGGTTTGTGGAGTACGGCGAGTACAAAGGGAGTCTGTACGGCACCAGCATCGAGTCAGTCAGGGACGTTTTGGACTCCGGGAAGATCTGCGTCATCGACATTGAGCCCAACGTGAGTCCAGTTTGTTTCAGCAGCAGAATCGCTTTTAGAAAACGCTCTGAAAGTGGCTTTAATCCAAGTTGTGTCTCCGTTCAGGCTGTTCAGGCCGTGAGGACCCACGAACTGAGGGCCTACATCGTCTACGTGAAGCCTCCGGCTCTGGAGCGGCTCCGAGAAACCAGACAGGACTCGTTCATCACCACCAACTACTACGTCAACCGACCCTTCAAAGTATCTCACATTTATTCATATTTCAACCTGCTTGTCTTACTGCGGCCTGAACATTTAAACCGTCCTGATGTGTCTTTATCGCACCTTGTTCGTTCAGGATTTCGTCTTGATTATTTAACGTTGTAAAAGAGAAGATGATGACCTAATCTCACACATACAGGCCAGATTAGATTCCAGAGTTCCAACAAAAAGGCAGGAAAGAAAGCAAGGCATAAATAAGGACATTTCTGAAGAAAAAACACAAATTTGTGCATAAAAATCGCCAGAAAGCAGCAAATAAAGAATCTGAAGCTTAAAATTTTCCGTAAAAATGTTGAAAATGTTCAAACAAAGTCTGCGTTCATGGTTTCACATGTTATCAGTAATGAGATTAGATAAGAAACACATTTAGATGCTATGATAAATGCTAATGAATCCACTATCAGCTGATTTGACTCGTTGGTTTCTCTGATCTTTTGGCAACTGGCTCAGTTTTTTTCCTTTTTTTTTTTTTAAATGTACAAACAGATTATTCAAGTTTAAGTTCAGATTTTAAATACATTATAAAATATGAAGATATTAAGTCAAATGAACTCACCTTTTTTAGTTTGCTGAATATAATATGATGTAAGTTTTGCTTATTTTTAGTTAATTGAGCTTAAAATGCTGATTTTCTTGTCTTCAAACCATTTTAAAGCTGTTAAACTATTTGAAACAGACAAAAGAAGTTCAAAGCAACTCTTCAAACTCACAAAATGTAAAACGAAAGAAAGTCTGTAACTACTGTCTGGTTGATTCAACTTAATATCCTGAGTTTATTGAACTTGTTTTCGTGCGTTCAGTTAATTTAACTCAGCTAATTTCACATTTTTGCAACTTAAAGCAGGAATTTGAACTCATGGACAGACTGCAGAGCTGTTAAGTAAAATTAGAAACTAAAGCCAATCTGTCTGTAAACATAGTTTATGTGTCTAGTTGATTCAACTAAATATCTTCAGTTAAATGAACTTATTATTTCATGTTCAGTTAATTTAAGTGAGCTAGTTTTGCACTTTTAAAACTTAGAAGATAAATTTGAACATTTAATCGACCACAGTGCTGTTAACTCAAAACGTTAAAGGAAGGCAGGTCTGTTGGGAAACATTGTTTATGTAACTAGTTGATTCAACTTAATATCTTGAGTTTATTGAACTTAAATTCTCGTGTTCAATTTATTAAACTTAACTAGTTTTACACCTTCAGAACTCATTAGACGGCTCTGAACTATAGTTAATCGACAACACTGCTGTTAACCCAGTCTGTCTGAAACATCATTAATGTGTCTTGTTGATTTAACTTCATATCTTGAGTTTATTGAACTTGTTATTTCATGTTCAGTAAACTTACCTGAGCAAGTTTTACACTGATACAACTTAAAAGATAAATTTGAAC